CTCTAGTCAAGTCAATTCTACTGGTAAATTGTCAAGAGTATTAGTATAAGGCACTTGAGAATCAGGAAACGACATTATCAATTGTTGAACAGAAATATTTAAATACCTGCGACCGTTAAGGAACACATGCTCAACCAAAATTACTCTTTCTGCAATAGTTAACACCATTATAGCTAAGATCAATTACTCAAACGGCTCTATAAAGCATTGATATTCTAAACTAACGGTTATCTGGATCTTGAAACATGACGTAATACACACATTTAATTGCTGTGCTAAAATAATTGATTTCCGGCAGTCTACAATCATTAAATACACATCTAATACATTGTTTCCCCAGTCAATTTGACTACTGTAACACTCAGCCCCTCCAAAAGCTCTGAAACTTTCAAGTACGTGATCCCCTTCAAGAGAGCACCCCAGCTGGCGTGGTCTATCGTCAGTATTGAGATTGATCAAACTAATGGAAACAGTTCTGCAAGCTCTGGCACTAATTATTACAAGTCTGGCAACTCTGGTAGCAGTGATTACAAGTCCGGCGGCTCTGGTAAAAATGGGTACAAGTCTGAGAACTATGGTACAAATCAGAACAGTTCCAGCAGCTTTTACGAATCCATCCAACCTCGTGTCACGGTAAGTCTATTTTTCACATAAAAGTGACAGTTTATTGTTATGAAGAACTGTTTCATCCTGTCACCCCCTTGTGTGATGCCATTTTTTGTTATTTGAAGCCCCTCTACTCTGGCTCTTGCCAGGGGCCGCAATAAAGCATGGCCATAAATATGGTCTAATGGCTAAACGCGGTTTCTGGGACCTCTCCACCGGTGATCCTCATCCACATGGTGGCACTTTGTGTCATCGGGTGTTTATCGCTTGTGTGATGTCCTGATGGGGTAAAAGAAGATAGAGATAGATAGGTTATGAAGAATTAAGAGGTCACTTTGTGTATCCTTTTTCTTTGGCCGAACACCAAGTCTGTAAAGACAGACCCGAGTCCATTTTTATCTAGACTCTGTACATCGAACAGGATCTCGTCTGGCCTTTAGAAATGTAATTAAGAAAGTGTTATTGAATAGACAAGCAAACAAATCAAAGAAAGTGTTAGTGGGAGTAGCAGCCTACGGATGGGAATCCTGGACCATTTGGCAATCAATAAAGAAAACATTTAGAGTCTGGCTTTTAAATGTCACACAAATTATGAGAATATGATGGTCAGGAAAAAGAAAAAAAATATGGAGATTCTATAAGATCTGAGCATCAAAGAAAAGAGACACTGACAATTATCTCTCGGAAACTCCAAAAATTACACAATTTTAAACGTAGTAGAAAGTTTTGGGTGTATCATTTGGAAGCGTTTATTCATAGAAGAAGAGGCAGGGGTCGACCAACATCAAAGTGATTACTTTATATCAACGACAAATTGAGTATCTCAATACATGAGGAAATGAAGCTATCGCAGGCCTGTAAATGAACATTATACTTAGACAGACTGAAAGAATGACATACGATGCCATCGCATACAAGACATGCACCAATAGAGGAGAAAGATGGGCGGTAAATAAAGAATAACATGGAATGATAGCATCATGGAAACTCTACAAAAACACGATGGGATACGGATTTAGGCGGTTAAAAGAGCAACAATCAGAACTTAACATCTCCTTCAACACCCGAAGCTGTAAAAAAAAGAAGTAAAAGAAGAATTGAGACTGTCCAACGAACACACGGGGATGACAGAGGAGTCTCGCAACAGCACTGTTGGATTATATACATTTTTAAACACATTATGAAATTGTTTTCAAGTTATGTAATTAGCTATTGATTTGTTGTTGTTGAAAATGTGATTTAATGTAGTACCGATGTCGTAGAACACTAGACATAACCACAGATACTCTTTCTCCTGTAGCAAATATTAAGTGTTGTTGCAAATTGTGCTGGTAACACACTAAACTGTTAGTACCGTTCCATCCAACCTTGCTAAACCTAACCACATGAGCCAATGATGCGAGAACGGTCTTTTACTTGAGCGGCTGGCCACGTTGCTATAACGCTGGGATCTCGTGCAGAAGATTTGGGTTCGTATCCCCTGTAGCCTTTTATGTCTGTCAGGGACAGAAATAAACACCTCAAACTGCACAGTTCGTGGCGACGGCATTAACCATGCAGCCTTAAATCTCAGGTTCAAGGGGCCCCTGCCCCTCGAGTTTTTAGATTGCTCATAAAAGTGGCACAAACAAACAGAACTACAACAAAGGCGAATTTCAATAATTTCCTCCTTGTGTTTTACTGTTAGGTTTTTGGTGACGCCAAAGGAGTGACAGTGAGGTTAGAGGACAACAGTACGGCATGGAGAACTCAGATCGTGAAGGTTCAAGTTCTGTCTATCCTCTTCAACAATGAAAATAACCAGAGTGTGGATTACAGCACCAATACTCCACAAAACTACTATGCGGCTCCAGGAGGCAAGTACACAACCCAGGGAGTGCAATACCCACGTTAAAGCTAAGCTAAACTATGCATAGCTCAATGGAAACTGGAACAATAGGAGGCACAAAACAGTTTTTTTGTGTCTTTAATAATACTGATAATAAAACAAAACGTTAAATTTTAAGACTAACTAATTTAGAATTAGGCAGATGCGCTGTCATGTACACACGCCATACAGACAACCTAGACACATTATCTGTAGGTAACACTTCTCTTTCTTTAAAAGACATGCTAAGTTTCAGAAAACACCAGTTACCTGTCAATGATACAATGCCTACCAAACAGAAGAAGCACAACAGTAACGTAAGAATGAAGGAAAACTTGTTACGATGATGAGGCTGGCAGTGCAAAATGCTAATAATTAGTACAGTAAGAAATTGGTAATAGTTTTGAAAAGGTAAATTGCGTTACTTTTTCGAATATGTTTGGTTATGTGTATAGTCTTGTATTGATTGGTGCATCTTACTGAAAAGCGGTTTTCTGCTTCTTTCTGAAGTCTATTTCAATGTTTAGTGAATTCGCAGGCTTTCTAAATTATATATATATATATATATATATATATATATATATATATATATATATATATATATATATATATATATATATATATATAAATATCGATTGTCTACATTTATTGCAGTCTGTCTCTATTTGTCAGTGTTTCACTTGTGGTCTACAAAATAAAAACTTTACTTCAAAATAAAACACGGTATTTGAAACATTGCTGTCTGTTTAAAAAAAAAATTATTTATAAAAATGTGTGCGTGTGTGTGTGTGTGTGTGTGTGTGCGTGTGCTATTTTTTAAAAAGACGTTGTGTTGGTCAATGTAATGACAAGACGCCCATGCTGGATACGACACAAATCTAGAATTTAGATTCTGGAACAATACCAAACTTCAGAAATTAACGAAACTTTTCCCCGGAGTTTACATCCGGTGAACGCTAAGACGAAGAAGAGAACGAAGAAGAAGAAGAAACCGAAAGATTAGAAGAAGAAGAAGAAGAAGAAGAAGAAGAAGAAGAAGAAGAAGAAGAAGAAGAAGAAGAAGAAGAAGAAGAAGAAGAAGAAGAAGAAGAAGACGATGAAGATACACAGACTGCCTGGTAATATAATTAGCATTTCCCTGTCCTCGAGCCCACGGGGTTAGAGAAATAAAGAGAGTATTGAATAAGAAAAAAGCACAAAGAAGAAAATCGAAGGCTAGTGTGAAAATAAGGATTGGGATGACCAGGGATGAGTAGCAAGAGAAAGAAAAGGAAAGGACAATATGGAAACAACACTGCTTGCTTGCTTGCTTCTTGTAAAAGAAAAGGAGAATTTGATCACGTTCAGACATTTTCAGCTGTGTAGCTGATGCTTATATTTGCGATCTTTATTGAGACTGGTTTGTTTGAATATGGCTTCCTTCGGTTCCATTTTGTTGTGTTGTTCTATACGGTTTAACTGATGTTGCTTCTTTCTTGTATAGAGTTGTTTTATACCTGATGTTGTTGTATCCGGAGGCAAGGGTCTTCTATTTCTTAATTGTGTCTCTTTTTTCGTTCCTGATTATGATAGGACACATCTGAATATTGCATTTTGGTTCTCTCCTATCCTCTCATCGTCTTGCGATTCCCATTTTCTGATTGGTTGTTTCTGGCTTCTATTCCTCTGTCACGTTTTTCCCCTCTGTCTTGGCTTCTAGGATGTAATAATGCTTAGTCTTTACAAGGACTTTTATGTAATTGTGTCTTTCCATCTTTGCTGTTGTTTTTCTCCTTCTCATCTTTGTCTGGCGTCCTCTGTGTTGTTTGACGTTTTGGATCTGGCTGGTAGGTGTCTGTGGATGTGTCTTCTCTGTCGTCTCTCTCATCTCTTCCCTCATTCTCTTTCCGTATTGAGCTTGTTTTATTCGGTCTTCTTTGGTTTTGATGCTTCCTGGTGGAAACCTTCTGTTCATTTCTGTATTGTGTCTATCTTCAAGTTCTTGCTGCTTGCCAGTAGACTCTTTCATCGATGTTTCTTTCGGTTTATCGTCTATTGGCTTTTCGCTGTTATCTTGGTCTATTTGGGGTTGCTTGGAGCTGTTGTCTTCACGGCTTTCATCCTGCTTTTTCTGCAATTCCTGTAGTGCTGCTATTGTTTCTGCTTTTATGTCATTAAGTGTCTTTATATTGTTGTCCAATATCTCTTTCATCTCCTTCATCTCTGCAAGTATCTGTCTTGCTTGGTCATCAATTTCAGGCATGTTTTTCTTTAAAAAAAGTTAAAAAAAGTAAAGTTTCCTTTTCACGCCTTTCGGCGCATCGGGCATATGAGCAGAGCGTCCCATATTTTTACAGACCATCAGCACTCTGTGGGTAATGTGGTCAGCATTACGCCGGCTGTCTTTACTTTCCCAGGACAGCCCATCCTGGTACCCATTTTAGGCTGGGTCGACCTGCGACGTCCCATACCACGACAAAAATCCACGCAGCCTGCAGTGGGTTTCGATCGCGGTATGCTGGCTTACGAGTCGGACTCGCAATGCCTTAGCCACGGACGCCGCATGTTTTTCTTTGGAGTCAGCTTATTTGCCTTTAATATCTTGATCTTTTCTTCTAACTTTCTGATCTGATTCTGCATCCTGGATTTCTCCACTGAGGTGAAGTATTCAGGTTCTTTGCATTTTCCTCTGGCTTCTTTGCATGGTACTCTCTCAGAAATTGCTATCTTGAGAATTTCCTGGCAATGTTGCAGATAAGGACATCAAAAATACCTCGCCCCGTGCTGTCCAAAACAATTGCTACATCGTCGATTGCTATTTGGTTTTTGATAATTTTTTTTTATCTTGCTTTGCTAATGGACACTCATTATAGGAATGAGAGTCAGCACAATATTTGCAAATCTCTGTTTTGCTGCGGCACACTGACTTGGTATGAAATCCCTTTTGACATCTGGAACATTGGAGTACCCTTGGGATATATCTCTCTGGTTTCTGTAGTTTATTGTCAAGCTTGACTGTTTCTGGAATACTCCTACTTTCTGTTGTCACCACTGCTACTGTTGATTTCATGTCTTTGGATATGATTCTCTCTGCTCTGATTATACTCATCTTCGGGTTTTCTCTCCTCAAGTGCTCTGCGATCTCCTGGTTTGACCATTTGGTATTCACGCTCTTGACCACCCACTTTCGGATCTCCTGAAACATCTTGGCTGCAACCAGTATGTTTTCCGGTAGTTGTAAGTCTATTGTAGGCTGTGTACCAATGTCCTCAGTCATTCTCTTCGTCTGTTTTGTTTCATTCAGCGTAACGATCACACCCTCTTGTGTCTTTCTGATTCTGCATATGCTTCCTATCCACAGTGAAGTTTCCAGGAATCTGGTTATTTTGGTTCTCGATAAATCCAGGAGTTTGGTTCCTCCTTCGTTTATTTGGTAAATCTTTACTCGTATCTTGATAACCGGACCGATGGACATTCTTGCGTTGCTTGGAGTCTCCCCCTCAGCCGGCATATAAGCTTGTTCGATCGTACAATCATCTGATTCCTCAGTTGTAATAGTGTTCTTTGATGTAGTTGGTTCTACTGCCAGCATGTCTCTTGGTGTGTCATTCTTAGCTGTATTGGGCGCGTTAGTTAACTGCAGGTTATACTGGCCACTATCGTCCCTTTCTATGATGATAGCTTCAGGAAAGTCGTTATCATCCTCCACAGCAACCGCATTCTTCTTGATCTGTTCCTCCTCTTTACTTCTTCTTGGGTCACTATCTTCCCTCTCTATGATGATAGCTTCTGCAAAATCAAGATCATTCTTCACAGTATCCACGTTCTTCTTGGTCTGTTCCTTCTCTTTACTTCTTCTTGAAGCGTAAAAATCATGGCGCCTAGCTGCCTTTTTATATCTTGGCATTGTTAGTAGTAGGCGTTTCTATGAATAATGTGTAATACTCACAACACTGCTAAGAACTCTCAATCAGGAACACACGTTGCAGTCACCACCAAGCTCCCTGCCTTTCCAGAAAACGTCTGTGCCACGTCGTCTGATTGGTTAGAGGTAAACGCGGCCAAGCCGTCTGATTGGACAGATGTAGACGCCTCCAAGTCGTCTGATTGGTAGAATATCGTATACCCAAAATACTCCGACGCTGCTGATGGAAACAACACTCGCCGCTTCTAACAATTATGTCCTCATCGTATACGAGGTCCCGTTCGTCCAAGCAGTTGGGACCGGTAATGGCAGAGATGGTATAAACTATGACAGGTCTGGAAACTTTGGTACAGATGAGTAAAAGTAGGGCATCTCTGGTACACCATCCAATGGTGCTAGTGCCTTGTCGTGACGGGATGGCTTGAGTACCCTAATGACTCTCATAGCTATACCGGCAGGGGACTTGTTCCCCTAGCAGGTTTAACCATGCCGAACAGATCTTGAAGAGTCAAACCAAACTATCACCCTGGTCCTCCAGGCTGAGGATTGCGCAAAATGTTGACAACCCATTACAGTAAAAAAAATTTTAAAAAAAATTTTGTTTCTGAAACATGAACAATTGAAATCATTGAATCGGTGGAAAGAAGTGAAGCTTGTCAGATATTTGGTGAAATGATGGCTGTGGATCAAAGCCAAAAGGAAGTCAACAGTCCGACAGTGAATTTTCTTTCTCTCAAAAACTCCCTGCGTGTTGGATGTTGGAATGTGAGAAGTTTGTATCGAACTGGAAAAGTGGAACAAGTTCTTCTTTAGATGCACCTACACAGTGTACATATTTTAGGAATTACAGAAGCACGTTGGACAGGGACAGAAAAAAAAGAAACCTCCATACAGACGACAGCATAATCTGGTCAGGTAGAGCTGATGAACAACATAATCTGGTCAGGTAGAGCTGATGAACAACATAATCTGGTCAGGTAGAGCTGATGAACAACATAATCTGGTCAGGTAGAGCTGATGAACAACATAATCTGGTCAGGTAGAGCTGATGAACAACATAATCTGGTCAGGTAGAGCTGATGAACAACATAATCTGGTCAGGTAGAGCTGATGAACAACATAA